TTTCAATTGGATTGTGATTGGTTCCTAGGCTCCTCACAGTTGTAAAAATATGGCGCTTTGAAATCAGATGAATCTTTTTGAATCACTCTGTATTTCTGTATTGATATTAGGACAGTGTCTCCAGTCCGTGCGAATAGAGCAGTTCAAGATCAGCACTCTAAATCTGAAAAGTCTTGAACATGGTCCCAAGAACATGGACAGAAACTCACGTCCAGCAGCTGAGCACCAGAAACTGACAGGACAAGTCAGCTCTTCACTCAGAAACATAAAAGACAAACTCTGCTATAACTTATCCAAATAAAACGTGGATGAACTGCAAAAACCTACGTCGTTGTATTAACTCTGCAGTGGTAAATTCAACACTGGGTTTTTCCATAATTTAAAGGGATGGTTGACGTGCACCTACATGACTAATGGGTCAAAATGAAGAGTGAAGAATGGAGGAACTGTAATAATATTTGCACAGGCCGGACTGCATTAAGGTGCCACTAATTCTGACTGGCACAGTAAAAGTAATGGGTCCATTATCAACATACAGTTTATTTAATCAGTTATGAAAAACTAAAAGAAAAATTCCCCCCAGCTGATTCTTCTTAATCTTTAGTAATAGTTTAAAAGCGAGAAAATCCACTTTGTCCAGCCTTTTCAGAATCATATTTAGAGAAAACAGTCTTCAGGCTTCGACACCCATGAAACATCTTTTGAAATATTTAAAAAGATCAAAGGTGAAACAAAAAGTGACAGTGCAACACACCATAAAAATAAAGGCAGACTTGAGATTTTGTAGAAGCTTTATGAATCAGTCATAGAGTTCAAGCTGTGACAAAGACTAACAGACACCAAATACTGAGACATATTACTAAAGAATAATGTAATGTAATAATGTAATAAAGTTTTTTTTAACTACGAGAAACTGTTAGTTAGTTAGGACTAAAACAGGTCTTGGTAGCAGACTCAGATCAGACTTTACTGTAACTGTGCCGGCCAGGTATGACAGCAATGCAGCACCTCAACATAACTTGGCCAAATGTTGCCAGACAGTTAAACTGCAGAGCTTTATTATGAGGAGTTCATGAAAGGTGTGAGGAGGACCAGTCTCCTGCAGGTGATGACGGGCTTCCACTGCAGCATCATCATCCCCAGTGAGTCCCATTTAAACGGGCCAAGTTCACTACCATAATTACACAGAACGACTAGTTTATTACCCATACGTCCTTTTTGCTTTTGCCTATGCCTCTTAGCCTCTGACAACACTTACATGAGTGTTTATTTAAATCCACTTGTGTCACATCGAGTGTGTTTACATGCACTTAATAATCCGATAACTGCAGAAAGTCAGATTTTGTCAGTAATCAGATCCACGTGTTTACATGCACTTAAGTAATCAGATAATGGGGACACTCCAGGTCTACATAAGTCAGACAGTAATCGGATTTCTGCTTTAGAGCCAGCCAATAAACTCACAGAAGAAGACGTGACGTAAACGTAATATAAAACTCGAACTTCATGCCGCGCCTTTTTTAAAACATCGCGCTGCTTTACCTGAAAATATGAACATACATCATCTAGACGATGAAGAATATTTAAACCCTTCATTTCATTGAGGATGTAGTCGGTTTCAGCGTCGCTCCATAAAATGTTTTGCTGCGTCTCGCGGCTTATTTCCTGTACAGCAGTCTGTTCCACACATGCGCAGACTGAGAAATCCGAAAGAAATCAGAGTAAGAGTTTACATGCACTGAGAAATCTGATTACTGAGCTAAAATCCAGCCTCTTTATCAGATTTCTTAAACGGGTTTCTAGATCGGAGTATGGTGTTTACACGACCATTTGAATAATCAGATAACTGCAGAAATCCGATTAGGATTGGATTATTGAGTGCATGTAAATGCACTCAATGGTGGCGATGGCGTTTTTGCAGCATTTCAATGATATAAAAGTAGCTTACACAACGATGGTCAAATGGGCAAATTATAAAGCTTTAGCGCGTCTCGGTAGAGTAAAAGATAATTAAAGTCAAACCTTGGCTGTTACCCGCTCCCCCTTTGGTTGTACAGAAAGCGTACACACAGGAACACACACAATTCTAAGCTCAGGACTAGACTATTCAAGTCCTCAGGGGGGCCGGTTTAGGTGGGAGTTTGGGAGTTTGCTGAAAACCCAGTCCAAATAGTTCTCTGGGGAGAGAACTATGCTGTGTATTGCCTTTAAAAGTGTTTTTTGTAGGTTTTGCACCCTCCACTTAAAAGTAATATATTTAAAAGTATTCAGCTGAAAAGGCCTATCACTCACGCCTTCCTATCACCTCCCTTGGTCACTCAGTGACCACAGTATCACACTGTACAATTTGGATTTTTCTGCTCAAACACACCTGATTCAACTCAAGTTTATTGCTCGGTTTAGATAGGAGTGCTGAAGCAGGGAAATCACCAAACTGTGTTGGACTCCGGCCTTCAGTTCCCCACTCCAGGTTTATGACATTCAAATCCAATGCACTTTACTGCTGTTATGACTTTATGTAATTACTGCACGATACAAAGAGGTTTTGGCCGTGCTCTGTGTGACTATAAATAGCCTCTATCCTCCTGTCTGCTATTAGGAAACAGTGTCAAAGTATCGGTATTAAAGATGTAGTTCACTATCCTCACTCAACATCAATGGCTCTGTGGTTTCCTCAAGTCAATCAAGTTCCTGAGCACCACCACATCCAGGGACCTGAAGTGGGAGAGGAACATGATCTTCATAGCTATAAGAGCACAGCAGAGAATGCTCTACCTGAGACAGCTGAAGAAATTCAACCTGATCCAGTTCTACACAGCGATCATCGAGTCCATCCTCACATCATCCATAACCATCTGGTTTGGTTCCTCCACCTCACAAGAAGGAGCCAAACTCCAGCGCATATTCAGGACAGCTGAGAGGGCCATTGGATGTATCTGCCAACACTTCAGGACATCTACAACAGCAGCATGCTGGCAAAATAACAGCTGACCCCTCTCATCCTGGACATCACCTCTTCCAGACACTTCCCTCTGGTAGAAGATTGAGGGCCATCAGAACCAGCACAGCCAGACATGCTAACAGCTTCTTCCTCAGAGCTGTAGCTCATTAGCCACAGTGGACACCTCACACTTTTTAAACTGAACCTAATAAACATTCTTACTGTCTTACTCCTCTGTAACATAATGTTTATTTGCACAACTGTACAGATGTTAATTTTTACCAATGTTTATATTGTAGCGTCTCTCTACTTGCTCGTACTGCTGCGAAAGAGCGGCCACGTGCAGAGGCTCTTGGTCAGTCACAGTAGGAGAGGCATTTATTGTAAGTAAGTTGTTGCTGTTGGTCTATGATGTGGAGAAGGGTTGTATGTGCTATTAGTAGTTTGTGTGTGGTTACTACCTGAAAGTGTATGGCTAGAGGTTACCGGCCATTTCTCCTTTGCTGCCTGTTCAATAAAAGAGCACTCGCCTTTAAAGGGCAATGATTCCTGCATCTTATTCTCCACCGATACCTCAGTATCATTCTTAAATATTCAGCATATAATAGTTATTATATGCCGACTACTACTTAGACCTGCATATCGCTGCTGTCGGAACAAAACTTCGGAACAAATCTCCATTTTTGCCGTTTTTCAGTTTTTGACATAATTAAAGAATGATTGTTGCCCTTTACATTATGTGTAAATTTCATGATGATTGGATGAAAGGAGAAGGTTCAAAATGACTTGGAAAACAGTCTGGTTCCACTGACTTACATTAAAAGTAAAGCATGTTTTCTCCTTCTCCTGTAAAGTTATCATTTTGGAGATACGAGGTTTTGTTACGACAGCAGCGATATGTATAGATACTGATATCTGCAATATATATATACAGATATTCACACATCTGTTTAGCTCTGTTCTCACTGGCTTACTAGTACACTTTATTCTATTAACTGCATCTTTATTTTGTCGCTTAGAGAAATATCTGTTAACAGTCTGTGTGCTTGTCTGGTCTGTTCCCTCCAGTAGCCTTTGTATCACATACACCGATCAGGCATAACATTATGACCACCTACTTGTTTCTACGCTCATTGTCCATTTTATCAGCTCCACTTACTATATAGGTGCACTTTGTAGTTCTACAGTTACAGACTGTAGTCCATCTGTTTCTCTGATACTTTATTAGCCCCCGTTTACCCTGTTCTTCAGTGGTCAGGACCCCTGGACAATGAGCGTAGAAACAACTAGGTGGTCATAATGTTATGCCTGATCGGTGTATTTGGCAAAATAAAGCGATTCTGATTCTGATTGCTGGTTGTGCTTTTGGTCCTTACTGTAACTGTGCTAGTCAAATTATCATAATGCTGTAGCTCAGTTAGCAGCACTCCAACCAAACCTGCCTAACGTTTCCAGCTGTCATGAGGTTTGCTCCATCCTGCAGTCCGTTAGCTGTGGATCACGCTTGCAGATAAGAGCTCTGCACCGGGCCTTCAGAACCACACCCTCAGGGAGAGAGAGAGAGAGAGAGGGAGAGAGGGAGGGAGAGAGAGATAGAGCTGCATCCTCCTTCCCCTCCCTGTCCAGCCCTGTCCTTCCATCTCCAACCCAAAGAGACGAACCGAAGGAGATGAAACCGGACTAGCACGCGCGTGCAGAGCGGGCCGTTGCACGAGCTAAACGCACAAACAGACGCAGCGGGCCTTTTTAGCGGGTGTAATGGACGCGAGCGCGACCGGACGGAGGCTGCAGGCAAGCGCGAGCCTGTCGAAAACTGTTCTGCTGTTAACACTCGAGCATGCGCGCATACAAGCACTGACCAGCCCGTGCGCTGCTGTTCCCTCCTCAGCGTGCATGCAGGCGCTCACACTCATATGCATGCATACATGCAACCAACCATCTCGACCGGCGCGAGCACACGCACGGCCGCCTCGGCTCGGTCGAGAGCGCTCTCGCGCGCACCAGCGCAGCCCGTGCCGCAGCAACCTTGCTCGTGAGTAAGGGCGTGAGAGGGTCTTACCTTCACAGAGGGGTCGTAGGCACGCTGATGCCCTCGTCCAGCGCGCGCCGAGAGGGTGCTGTTACGCGAGGACGCTCGGGTTCTGTCACACCGGCGCGCGAGCGCCTCAAGCCCGCCCACCGCGAGGACGTCACGCCACACGGAAGCCTCTGGAGCGGCGTGAGAAACGGAGAGCTGTGTGTGTGTGTGTGTGTGATCACTGCTGCTGGGAAGAGTGAATGGAGGTAAAAGAGCTTAAGTAACCACAGAGGAAGAGAGAGAGACAGAAAGAGAGAGAGAGAAGGAGGGAGAGAGAACAGAGCGAGAGACAGAAAGAGAGAGAGTAGTGTGCAAAAGTCAGAGACCGCCCTTAATTGATGTGATGTCCAGTCAAAACGGCCATTACGTACCTTCATTTTCAGCGGCAGGGAAATTACTGTCTTTCAGTTTTTTTTACGGAGCCCTGCTGGTGACATCCGGTATAAATCAAAACAACGCCGCATTAACGCGTGGGAACGAGATCCTAATGTATGGCCACGACTTAGTTAGACGTGGGAACAAGATAATTAAGACATGGCCACGAATCTGCAGGGCGTGGGGACAAGATCTTGCCTTATTATGTGGTCAAGGCTTAATTATCTCATTCCCATACCTTACTAAGTCGTGGCCACGCATTAGGATCTCGTTCTCATGCCTTACTAAATCATGGCCACGGATTATTTTTATTTATACAGGATTTATATATCTCATGTAGATAAAAACAATGTGTGGCCACGCCTTATTAATGCGTGGGAACGAGATCCTAATGCATGGCCATGACTTAGTAAGGCATGGGAATGAGATAATTTATTCGTGGAAAATGACGTCGTTCCTATGGCTTACTAAGTCGTGGGCACGCATTACAATCCTGTTCCCACGCCTTACTAAGTTGTGAGCACGCATTACAATCTTGTTCTTAATTATCTTGTTCCCACACCTTACCTGCCTTAATAAGTTGTGGCCACACATTATTTTTATCTATGCAGGATGTTGCCAGAGGGCCTCTGTAGGGCTCCGTAGTTTTCACAGTAATTTAATTTCAGTCTTAGAACTTGGCTGCATTTTCTGCTTCTCACATTCCCAAACACATTCAGTGGTGTTGAGGTCTGGACTCTGGGGTGGTCAGTCCATTGTTCAGCTTCTTTGTTTGATGTGTCCGTCTCCTTTTCTCAGTGAGGTTCTTCTTGAACAGCTACACATCCTTTCAGACCCATAGCGCTGAGTTGTCTTCTCACAGTGGAAGGATGGACAGAAACACCTGTGGATGTTTTCAGATCTGAAGCAGCTTGATTTTCTCCTCTCTCTCAAAGATGAAAGCTTTAAGTGCTGTTTATCTGATGGGGCAGTTTTGGTGGTCTACCATGTCCTGCACGGTTGTTAGGAGTCCCAGTTTCTCTAGATCTTTTAATCATTTATGAACTCCTGTTTTTAAAACTCCAGTTTCTTCACTTATTGTCTTTTGAATTTCCTGTTAGCTCATCCTGAAGAAAGAATAACTTGTCCTGAATGGCTGCTTTCATTGGGAGTTAAATAAACGAAGGAAGAGTTTGGGCTGACAAACGTTTTCTCAAATTCTTGCAAGATGGGGGTAAACTGGGAATAGAGATGACTAAGACAGGAGCTACTAGATGGCAACCACGGATTAATGGAATTTAGGCCCAGCTCAATTTCTTCTTTTTACCACTGGAAAATGATTTGGTTAGGCCCACATCGTAGATTATGCTCAATAACTCTTCATGAAATGAATATTATTAATAATTATTTTTTTGTTATTAAACTTATTAAACTGATTAAATTATTACGTTTATTAATAAGACTTATCTTACACTAGTTTGCCTCCATAGGAGGCCCCCTCCAGGGGTCGGCAACAGGCAACTCGTTTCCTGTCCTGTTGTGGCTCCACAGCAGAATTAGATTTTTAGATAAAAATAAAATAATCCTCCTCTACAATAAAATAAAGCTCTGTTAAACATTCTTACACATTTTTTGCAATAAATGGTCTTAAATGCTGGAGCATAGCAACGCAGACTCTTGCCTCGCTAGTATCTAATGAAAAGGCAAAGAGAGAGATTTAAGATGAACATCGATAATTTGGAGATGAATTGACTTATTTGCATTTATAATCACTCCAGCTGGTTTCCTGATACGTTTAATCTGCAACGAGAAACTGTCAAAGACTAAAAGGTCGCAAAGCTGAAGTCAGTTTGTCATTCGCCAGCTTCTTGTTTGCATGTTTACATTCTACCTGAAAAAGTACAGCAGTTACATTCTGGTACCTCAGGCACCATTTAAGGTGGAACAGGAAATTGAAGCTGATGAACGGGAAACTGACTTCAGCCTTGTAAAAAGTTGAACGTTGAGACATTTTACAAGAAACTATTTTACTTGTGAGGAAAAGTTTCCTGCTGGAGATGCGAGAAAAGCGACTATAGCTGAGCTAAAGCTTAAGGCAGAGCAAAGTAAGTCAGTGTTTTCATTTATATTTTTAGCCTATGCTAGTAGCACATACTTAGACATATTGACAGCCAAGATGGTAAAATGGACATAAAATATTGTGGCTCCCAAGGTGGTTTGATGTTTGTTAAAGGGCAAAATGGCTCTTCTTAACATCTGGGTTGCAAGAAAATGTACAAGTTTTGGCAGATGTTGATATCGTGAGCGATCCTTTTTTCCCAAATTATTCTATGATGTCCAGCTTGTATGTCTAAAGGTTACTGTAGCTGTTATTCTTTCATATTCCCACCGTTTGTAACCAGAGCTTTGACAGTACAAATGTACCATTATTTGCAATACCAGCAGCATCCAGAGTTGAACTGAATTAGATGGGGAGAACGGACAGAGAGGGAGGGCGTGTCTATGGTTCTTTATTGACTGATGTGGAAAATCAGCCTCAGAAACACCACTCAAGTGCCATGACTATGACCCAGATTCCCTCATCCACGCCACTCTCTCTCTCTCTCCCTCTCTCTCTCTCTTTATGACTCCCCCTCTGTAACCTTATGTTGGAGTGAGGCTGAACACAGACATTACAGCATGCCTGATTAGCACCATATGCAGGCCACTACCCCAGGCTGAGTGTGTCCACACACACACACACGCCATGTCCTCGCCTATATCTGCCTCCCAGTAGACACACACACTAGACATAGCGTCGCTTGTCACACATACACACACACACACATTTCCCCTGCCTTCACCCATTACATAAGTAAGCATTAGAAAAGCATTTCTTTCCGCTACACTCTCTCTTTTACTCTCTCTCTCTCTCTCTCTCTCTCTCTCTCTCTCATGCATACAGCAAGCTTATTATCTAAAACCCTCAGCTGCCGGCTGCATTACTCAACAAAGCCTGTAAGCCTGTGAGGTGTTTGCGAGTGTGTGTGCACCTGAGAAAGGACCTTCTGTTCACCTAAACCCTGCCACAGAGTGCCACTTCTAATGAGGCCAGGACTTAATCAGTCCCTTCCTCCGTCCCTCCTTCCCTCTCTCTGTCTGTCTATCTCTCTTTCTTTCTATGAGGAGCCTAAGAGAAGGCTCAGGCTGCAACTCAGTGGATCTGAGACTAAATAATACATCAGCATGAGCAAACACATGGGCTGCGTGTGGGTGTGTGTGAATGAGAGAGTGTGGAGGGGGGACCAAGACATTTTGGAAGCACAAGTATGTTTTCTGAGCAGTATGTGGAGTGACAGAATGAGGCAGTGATGGAGAGCTTGCTTACAGGAGAAACGATGATGAGATTACATAGAAGGTCAATAAATACAATTTTTATTTACTATTACTTTTACTATTACTTATTTACTATGTACTGTTACTATTTATATAACAGTCATCAGGGACTATAGTACAGTAAACATTAAGAACTAATCAAGCTGGATTTGTTTTACCAGTAACTGTAAATGTCATGGTCACGTAACAGGTGCCAAGCTCAATAACAATAACAACACGGAGCACGGCCTGTCACCATCCCTGTGTCTCAATTCAGACAGTATGCATTATATGCTTACATGTCATTATCTGGCTCAAATTGAACACTAAAGTTTTGCACTACATAGAAGTGACAGCTTAATACATGGTGCTTAAAATTGCTAACTAACATTAGCAAGCTAAAAGTTAGCTACAATATAACATGACCTGTTGCCATAACAACAAGTAGCCCAAATGCCACTGGGTCCTCTGAACTACAATGTCACAAAGGCCCAGTCCCATTTCTTATTTTTACTCCTACCCCTTGTTTTAAAGTGTCACCTTGCCTGCTCTGTTGGCGACCCTGCCAGTCTGCAGTGATAGCAGAGGAGGGTAAAGTTCAGCTCCTCACTGCTGGGCTTTAGTTACGTTGAGGGCACCATATGTCTTCAAAGAGGGGGGCAATTATTTATTATCTCCCACCCCTGATTCTTCAGTGATATGAAGCGGAAGTCCGAACCTTCCCGTTCCGCTTTAAATGGTCTGCCATTTAAGGTGGAACAGAAAATTTAGCTAGCTAGCTACTGAGACATCAGCATACTACTATCTTTTTTTATGCTTGTTATGAAGAAAAGGATCATAATACACTGAAACGACATTAAACTAAGATAATAAAATAGTTATCATAATTTTTTTAAATTTTTAAACACTCACAGTTGTGGATTTCTTTGGTCACTTATTCAGCCATCTTGCTGGTCATAACACTCTCTTTGGAGTGAGTCTCTGAAAAACCTCCGTTTGGAGGGCCATGTAGCCCTAACACTTCACCCTACCCCTCTATCTCAACAAAAATCAGGACACCCTACTCCTAGACATGCAAAACGGAGGGGTGGGGCCAAGTGGTAGGGGTGAGGGGTGATATGGGATTGGGCCTAAGTAATCAAAATGCTGATACTGCTACATATATGCTCTAAGCAAAGCTAACACTCTTGAGCATTTAACGTACATCACATGAAAGTCACGCTACTACTAAAGGTCTACTTCTGAACTATTATGCTAACAACTCCAGCTACTCGAACTGTAGCTTAGTGCTGCCAAAGCCACTTGATTATTTTGTTGTTGCCTGTGTTGTGATAGATGCAAGTTGCATCTGGGTCACAGTATTTTATGTCAACAATTTAA